AGGTCTGAGGACTAAGGACAGGTCTGAGGACTGAGGTCTGAGGTCTGAGGACTGAGGTCTGAGGTCTGAGGACTAAGGACAGGTCTGAGGACTGAGGTCTGAGGACTGAGGTCTGAGGTGTGGGACTAGAGAGGGAGAGTCGGTGAGTCTCAGGTTCAGGTCTCATTGTTTTCGTTTGTCAGAAAAACCTGTTTCTAATCACTGGTTTTAAAGCTTCAATAAAAGAAACTGGAGAGACCAGAGACCAGAAACCAGAGAGAGACCAGAGACAGACCAGAGACAGACCAGAGCCCAGAGCGAGACCAGAGCGAGACTAGAGACCAGAGAGAGACCAGAGCGAGACCAGAGCGAGACCAGAGCGAGACCAGAGAGAGACCAGAGAGAGACCAGAGCGAGACCAGAGCGAGACCAGAGCGAGACAAGAGCGAGACTAGAGAGAGACTAGAGAGAGACCAGAAAGAGATCAGAAAGAGATCAGAGAGAGACCAGAGAGAGAGCAGAGTATATGTGTCATTATGTGGGTCTCCCCGAGGTTTCTCACTTTGTTCCCACTGGATTTTTATGAGTTTTTCCTCTGATGCAGGAGGGTCTGTTGGACAGTTAGTGTCCAACTAGAAGGACTGTGATGATCCAGGAAACTTTAACATTTATCACATGTATGACATTTATCAACATGTGTGACATTTATCACATGTGTGACATTTATCAACATGTGTGACATTTATCAACATGTGTGACATTTATCACATGTATGACATTTATAAACATGTATGACATTTATCACATGTATGACATTTATCACATGTGTGACATTTATCAACATGTGTGACATTTATCACATGTATGACATTTATCACATGTATGACATTTATCACATGTATGACATTTATCTCATGTGTGACATTTATCACATGTATGACATTTATCAACATGTGTGACATTTATCAACATGTGTGACATTTATCACATGTATGACATTTATCACATGTATGACATTTATCACATGTGTGACATTTATCAACATGTATGACATGTATCAACATGTGTGACATTTATCACATGTATGACATTTATCAACATGTATGACATTTATCACATGTATGACATTTATCACATGTGTGACATTTATCAACATGTGTGACATTTATCACATGTATGACATTTATCTCATGTGTGACATTTATCACATGTATGACATATATCAACATGTGTGACATTTATCACATGTATGACATTTATCTCATGTGTGACATTTATCACATGTATGAGATTTATCACATGTATGACATTTATCACATGTGTGACATTTATCAACATGTGTGACATTTATCACATGTATGACATTTATCACATGTATAACATTTATCACATGTGTGACATTTATCAACACGTTTGACATGTATCAACATGTGTGACATTTATCACATGTATGACATTTATCAACATGTATGACATTTATCACATGTATGACATTTATCACATGTGTGACATTTATCACATGTGTGACATTTATCACATGTATGACATTTATCACATGTGTGACATTTATCAACATGTATGACATGTATCAACATGTGTGACATTTATCACATGTATGACATTTATCAACATGTATGACATTTATCACATTTATGACATTTATCACATGTTTGACATTTATCACATGTATGACATTTATCAACATGTGTGACATTTATCACATGTGTGACATTTATCACATGTATGACATTTATCACATGTGTGACATTTATCACATGTATGACATTTATCAACATGTGTGACATTTATCACATGTGTGACATTTATCACATGTATGACATTTATCAACATGTGTGACATTTATCACATGTATGACATTTATCAACATGTGTGACATTTATCACATGTATGACATTTATCAACATGTATGACATTTATCAACATGTGTGACATTTATCAACATGTATGACATTTATCACATGTATGACATTTATCACATGTATGACATTTATCAACATGTGTGACATTTATCACAAGTGTGACATTTATCAACATGTATGACATTTATCAACATGTGAGACATTTATCAACATGTGTGACATTTATCAACATGCGTGACATTTATCAACATGTATGACATTTATCAACGTGTGTGACATTTATCAACATATATGACATTTATCAACATGTGTGACATTTATCAACATGTGTGACATTTATCAACATGTATGACATTTATCACATGTATGGCATTTATCACATGTATGACATTTATCAAAATGTATGACATTTATCACATGTGTGACATTTATCAACACGTATGACATTTATCAACATGTATGACATTTATCACATGTATGACATTTATCACATGTGTGACATTTATCAACATGTATGACATTTATCACATGTATGACATTTATCAACATGTATGACATTTATCACGTGTGACATTTATCAACATGTATGACATTTATCACATGTATGACATTTATCACATGTGTGACATTTATCACATGTATGACATTTATCACATGTGTGACATTTATCAACATGTATGACATTTATCACATGTATGACATTTATCAACATGTGTGACATTTATCAACATGTGTGACATT